TAATGCTGAATAGCTTACAGGTGACATCTGGGGCAGTATACTATGGGGATCTTGTGTCAACTACCATACATATTATAGAAATCAAATATAGCTTACCTAGAACCCGTAATATTTTGTAGCTGTGGTGCTTCCCTGTTTAAAAGGGTGTATGCCTATTTTACTTCATTTTGTCTCCCGCTTTGTTAAGGAGGGAAGTGGATTTATTATATTTCCAACTCCTCCAACTTTCTTCTGATTAATTTCGTTGCGGGTTCCAAGACATTTAAATTTTTTCCTGGGATTTCCCGAGTGTCCCATACAAAAAAAATAAAAATAATTACTGACAAAACTAAGGTTCAGCCAGTAAAGCTAGTTCTTTCCGTGTTTACCCGTGAACACTATAGCAGTATCATCAGCGTAGGAAAAAATGTGAGCATTATTAATTTAAGATTGCATAAGTCATTGATATACTCGTATATCAAAAAAGGCGTTGAAACAAAAACGCTCTCTTGCGTTGTTGTTTTTTACTTTAATGTAAGTAATTTCAAAGCAAAGTAAGTGGAAAATCTCGAATTCCTATATTTTCAAGCTTGCGTAAAGGAAGTAGAGGAATAAAAAAAATCCTATAGTTATTGACGTTGTCTCCGTCCCCATTCTTATACACGGGTATTTTAATATTGAAGGAAAAAAGCAAAGGTTGTTGAGATGACAAATTATTATTGGTACTAAAGTGAACGCGCTGCTGCTGCTGCTGCTGAGTTCGTGTATGTAAACATACAACCTCTTTACTAAACACAAATATTGTATGTTAAGCAATGAACTACAAGATATAAACTAGACGTTACTCAGTATTAAACATTACAACCTACTATACACAACAACAACGAAACTCATATCAGACAGTTATCATATTTTTAGTAGCTGTCATTACTAAGAACATGATTGAGCTCACAATTTTGTTTTTGTATCCTCAATGCGAGTAAAACAGTCCATTATCATAATTTTCTTATTATTAATAGCATTATTAAGATAATATTTGAATCCGTAATATAACAACAGCAGCAACAACAGGTCAACTAACAATATGCTTCTTCTATGCCCCCCTCACACCTCCAACTTCATCAACTCTTTTTTCTACGTTCAGTCAGTTCTTCTCTGGAATGCGCTCCATGCCGAAATTAGGATGTCCACGATCCGCCATGCATTCAAGACAAAAGTGCGCAATCTTCTTGGGAGTGAATTGGCAGAACAGTCACAACGCTAGTACCCGACTGAGTATTTTTATATTATATTAAATTTATGTATCTTTATATATGTATGTGTATTTATATATCTCTGGATTTCGATTATGTTTAATTTAATATTTTATTTTTGCACCTACCGCATCATATTTCTACATCACGTGAAGGTTCACTGGGACAGAATGTCAAATGGCATTAAGTCCGCCTTTGTACCTACAACATGTGCATTAAAGTTTAAATAAATAAATAATATTGTTTTGAAAGTCACGGTAACCATTCAAATTAAGATTTACTTATGTCGTTAATTATTTAGTGAAAAATATAAATAACTTAAGAATAACAACTACGTTTCATGTTTTTTTTTTCTAGCTGTAATTTAAAGGTTATTAACAGTTTATTTTTCTTAGAAGGGCAATCGTGCAAACTCTTTCTCTCAGATCAATAATTACACGCTACAGATAGGGGAGTCTAAACGCGGGCACGCCGTCATCGCGGCGGTAAGACCCGTTATGGAGGATTGGCTCGAGAGACGTCACGGGACCCTCGCATACCGACTGACGCAGGTGATCACTGGGAAAGGATGTTTCGGGGATCACCTGTGTCTGATCCGCAAGGAGCCAATGCCTGAGTGCCACCACTGCGATGGCCAGACCGTGGACACGGCTCTCCACACGCTGGCAGAGTGCCCGGCGTGGGTTGAGCAGAGGAGACCTCGTGGCGGCCATCGGAGTGGGAGTTCTCTCGCTCGATAGCCTGATTGTGGCTATCGTGCGGAGCGAGAGTGCGTGGATCACTGCCGTCTCCTTCTGCGAGCAGGTTATGCTCGCGAAGGAGACGGCGGAGCGGGACCGGGAGAGGTTTAGGACTCTCCCGGCCCGCCAGGCCCGGGAACGGGCCAGGTACCGCAGGCGACTCCGGCGCCGGAGGTCGCAGAACGACCTCCATCCTCCATAAGCGCAGGCCTGGGGGTGACAGGTGAGGCCATCTATCACCCTAGCAGAAGCAGGCCGGGGTGGCGGCGAGCGCGTTGCGAATCGCGCTCGCTTCCAGGGAGCACAGGGAACATGGGGTTCCCACACGGGGCGGGGGTCGTCTACTCGTCTGTAGATGATCCGAGGTATGTCGGGGCACCAGGGACCTGGTTCCCCGGCTATTAGAACCCGAGACGGCGTGCGGTTTTAGTCGGTTCGAGTCCGACATGCCACCGATAGGTGGTATCCAAGGGGATTTCAGCACGAGAAAAAAAAAAAAAGGGGAGTCTAAACGTTAGTTAATTACAAACATGAAGGATGATTCTTCGCTCGTCGTTAACTACATGTAAGTAAAAATATGTTCGATTCTGGCGCTATAGGGTTGCAGCTCTAACCTAACCTAATCTAACACTCCTAGCTTCACTCGTCATCGAACCTAACGGAGGCCTTCCTTAAATACATACTCGTAATTTCACACAATTTTAAATTTTCTTAGGTTTAGCGCCTTTTTAATGAATTAACTTTTAATCACCTCCATCTCTGTATTATTGATCTCATTTTCTTTTTTCCATTGCAGGTACACAACACTATAAACAAAATGAAGGATAATGCTTTAAATAACTTGCTAGTTTTAAATAACGGAATAATAACACTAATGATTAAGAAATATATAAAAACAAATATTAGAATAAAACAAATTTATGAGTACATAAATTTATAATAAATGTTTTTAAGAAGAGTGATCATTCTGTTCTAAGATTGTATGAGAAATATTTTTGGACTTCTCATGTAATAGGAATTAAAAGCTGTGAAAAAAAATACGCACCCAAATGATGACGAAACGCTTCGATGAAAAGAAGGTAGTGCCCTTGTGCTTTGGCGATTCAGCCTCATTCGTATTCAAAGTTAGCACCCCAGTGATCGTCTGATTATATAGAACTTAATAATTGTTATGGACTTCACATTTGAAGTAATAATATAATTATCTAATTTCTTAATATAATCGTACCTACACTGATTGGTTAGTGTGAGATTACACATACGGAGATTTGAACCAAAGTGGATCCTGAAATTGATCAGGAGTGAAAGGTTAGTTAGATTTTTACTTAGTCATAATTTTAATTTGGAAATGTAACGCATTAAGATGCAGTTAAAAAGAGCCTTATTCATTTCACTAAAAATGTACTCGTTGCTATTTCATATTTTGTATTGCTGTTATTTCTTCTCATTGATGCAGTCTGCAAAGCTCCCTAACAGCGTCGCTGTGCTTCGACTCTTTCGGAAGCCATGATATTTTTTTTTTCTAAAAATGTACTTATCTGATTGACTATATATTTCTCGACTATTTTATTAATTACTGTCAAGTTTTGCTATTGGTCTATAATTTGAATAATTGCAACATGTTTAAATATGGGTAATATTAAAGCTGCTCAACTATATTATTAGATTGCTATTGGTCTATAATTTGAATAATTGCAACATGTTTAAATATGGGTCCTATTAAAGCTGCTCAACTATTTTATTAGATTGCTATTGGTCTATAATTTGAATGATTGCAAAATATTTAAATATGGGTCCTATTAAAGCTGCTCAACTATTTTATTAGATTGCTATTGGTCTATAATTTGAATCATTGCAATGTGATCCATGTTTGAATGTGGGCCGTATTAAAGTTGTTGTAAGCTTTTCCTCGATAACCCCTTTTACGACTTACAAGTTAATAAAATACGCAATTACAGGACTAATCGTACTTTTAATTAATTTAATATCTTTTACCCTAATAGTGTCTGTACCTTGTGCTTTATCACAGCTTCGTTTATTATTGTTTCTAATATCTTGTGGTCTAAAGGACAATGGCAGGTCCCCATACATAATTTTATTTGAACTGAAATGTTAACGTTTAAATATCAAAAAATCCTTAACACTTGAGAATTTATTCTTGACCATTCTCATATCAAAATTACTTGCGAAAGAAGTCTAGGAAAAAAGATATTGGATTTTGAATGTTTCGAGGTTAAGTACTAACATATTGTTAAAGTTTTGTTTGAAACTAGATGGCGTTGTGTGTCAGATAGCCGAAAATATTATTTTCATTATTATTACAGTATATGAAAAAATAAAATAAAAGCATAACATCTATTCGAGTTTAACACTAAATTAAACAAAAATAAAATAACAAACGTGGTGAGTCCGGAACTTGACAGGATCTAAACCACAGATTGAGAGATATGTACTAAACGACGACGTATCGACATTTTGAAAATATCGATGTATGTCTATTTATGTGCCGTTATCAATGACAATGTATTTTTCTCATCACACTGTGTAGTGGAAAATAACGTAACTATATTCTATTTCTTTAGTGTTTTTAAAATCGTTTAAAGAGGGTCAAAAATATTTTAAATCATTTCTAATTATGTTGATTCAGTCACTCTACCGTACGAGTGAAGACGTGGGCAGAAGCAAATTCATAATCATAATAGTGAACCTTCGGTAAATATTTCAGCCAAAGCTATAAGAATCGATTATCGATAAATTGTTCCATAATATAATATTGCCACCACGCATCCCTAGTCGGTTATACGTGATGGCGAATCTGACATTACGTACTTAGGTCAAATAAAATCTTCAAAAATATCTTATCTCTTATAAGACTTATACAACACATGGTGGTGTAATGATAAATCATAGAAAAATTTTTGATTAAGTTTACTGTGACTCGATTTTTTAAACGCTTAAGTTTTAGGTAAATATGTTTCTGCCATTGTTCTTTTGGAGACGTAAATGCATAGTTTATTAGCTAAGGTTTTCAGTGAATATTCCAACTTTTCTTTCTCATACTCTTCCCGCCCCAGCTATTTCTATGTTTTTTTTTCTCCCTATTTTCTAATACAGCAAATGTTTCCTCTAAGGCTTTGTTGGTGGTCTCCAAATGAACGTTTCTGTACTCGAGATCTCTTATTTTTTTATCAGTTTTCTCCTTTTCTTGTACTAGTTCTTGATACGTATATCCGTAGATGAACCGCTTAGTCTCAAGTTTCTTCTTCATTTTGAATACAGTTGCTAGTTAGTGCTAGCAGTTTCTCTGGTGCAGTCTTCGACACATCGATTACGATAGGTGTATTTTCAATAGTCGCGTTCTGGCACGCATCGCACATGGCTGTAGTACTAAACGCCTTTATTTTTGCCGAGCACCTTTCGTGGAAAGTACCCCTACATGTTCCATAGTATGTGTTTCCATAGTATAAAATGAAGTCGCTTTTTTTATAGATCTTTAAATTTCTTCTAAACTGGGCAAAGGATTTTAATGCGAATTTCAACAATAGAGAGTGTGATTTAAGAGGTGTAAATAAGTCATAAAATCATTATTAGTAATTTAACATTAACATTCTAAAATATCCATCTCAGTAATAAAAATAAATAGAATAGAATAAAATAGAATAATATTTATTTCATAAATATAAATTAGGAATAATTAATATTTCAGAGAACAATAAATCTATTTTTAGTGCATGATGTACTCATAATTTATGTAATAACAAACTATTAAAAAAATAATCAGCTTTCTTTTTATTTTGTAAAGCGCCATAAAAAATATTGCCAGGAAACAAATCCAAGGTAATATCAACGTGAATATATTTCTAAACTGGGCTATTTATCATTACGTTATTTGTGAACAATAACAAAAACTATCTATACAAATAAATAAAAATAAAATGTCTGTTTGTAATGTATAAATATTAGGTTTTTTCATGGTTACACGGTTATTAGCACGCTACCTATGAATAAAAACCCGTTAAAATATTTTTTATCTGTCTGTGTTTCTGTCTGTTTGTTCCGGGTATGCTTCAAAACGGCTGGACCGATTTTGATAATATTTTACTATCAAGTAGCTGTCTATATAAGGAGTAACTTAGGCTATTTTTTCTCTCAGAAAAACCCTATAAAATTTTGCTCAGTCGGATAATCTAACCCACTAAGGCAAAGTTTTTCAAATTCTACGCAAACGAAGCTGCGGCCACAAGCTAGTTTTAAATAAAGTTCGCGACACCACTCAAGTCAAGATAAAGATAGTTATTTAGTTTTTGAGCTGTCATTAATATTAATTGTACTGTGTCGTCTCTCAATGAACAAAACAATAGTAATTTATGTTAGACCAGCTTTTGCCCACGACTTCGTTCGCGTGGTGGTCGACATCAGACATCATAGTAGTTATACTAAGAGTTTGGAATCAATAACTTAATTCGTTTTACAAAAAATAGTGACAACGTTTTCTATTACTTTTATCAATAGTATTTACTGTGAGTTTGAAAATGCTACTACCAAAAATATTAATTTATAGTCCCCATTTTGAACCCAAATCCATTCTTAATGCACACCTACTTCACCTAAGGAACATTTGCGCAAAATTTCATGTTTCTATACCCAGGGGTCTCAGCTGTGCGTTGATCGATCCGCCAGTGCATCAGTCTGTCAGTTTCTTCTTTTATAGATATAGTTTTGCAATTATTGTAGCAAGTTGTTGGAATCTTCTAGTCAGAGACAAATGATAGGAATGTGACTTCAATACCTACTGAAAGTCCCTTGATGCTGATAAACATACTTACATTTATATTAATATTTTTTTGAATACATAGATACATATTATAGACTAGCTAAGACCCGCGGTGTTACCCGCGTTTGTTGTTATAACCGCGGGCAACGCCGCGGCGCGAAGCTAGTCTAAAAAAAGTAGCCTAAGTTACTCCTTATGTCATCAGCTATCTGCCAGTGAAAGTCCCGTCGAAATCGGTCCAGCCGTTCCAGAGATTACCCAGATCAAGCAGACAGACAGACAGACAAAAAATGAAAAAAATGATATTTTGGCATATGTACCGTGTAAACATACATATGCATTTAGTAAAAAGCGGTAATTTTAATATTACAAACAGTCACTCCAGTTTTATTTATTTGTATAGATAAATTACACCTAGACATAGAACAAATGATCGTGCTTATCATGCAATTACCTACTTGATTATTATTTGTTCGGTTATTCGGTCGGTGTTCAGGAAACTACTTTTTAAATTAGTTTTTGGATATATCGTCGAGAGGCCTATGTCCAGCAGTGGACTGCGATAGGCTGATGGTGATGATGATATCGTCGTTTACTACTTTTTTTAAAAATAAGTTAATAAGAAGTAACTTTAAAAATACTACTAAACTATAGTTACCTACATAATAAGATTATAAAGACCCAGTACTTTTACCTAACGTTCTAAAGTTGCATTCTTACTGATAATAGCGTGATGTACATATAACAGCTCCTTAATGTACTTAGACTTTATAAATATTTTCAATCTCTATGCGAACAAAGTCGTTAGTAAAAGCTAGTGGTTTATAATCTATTTATAATATACTGTTTTTTTTGGCGACTCCGCCTGCGTAAATGTCGGTAGCGGTAGCCTCTGTCTTTCCTTAAGAATCAAAGTATCTCCATACTAAATTTTCATATTATAATATCAAGTTTTCAAATCAAAGTGAAACTTTGGGAACTTGTTTTAGGGTTAAGGAAAGTACTACAATACTATTTTAGAGAAAATTATGAACAATCGCCTAAACAAATACCTAGAAGCTCACAATATACTTTCTAGTAAACAATATGGATTTAGGAAAAATACCTCTACTAATGATGCAGTTCATAATTTCACCGACCACGTAGTGAGGGCACTGGATAGTGGCAAAAAATGCTTGGCGATATTCCTTGATTTGGCCAAGGCTTTTGACACGGTCTCCATCCCCAAGCTAATCCTTAAACTGAAGGCGATCGGAGTCAGGGATAAACCGTTACAGCTATTTCAGAATTACCTGACCAGCCGCACTCAATGTGTCAAAATTGGCGAGTACGTTAGCAGCCATCTACCTGTCGAGTTTGGAGTTCCTCAGGGTAGTATACTTGGTCCTACACTCTTTTTAGTGTATATAAACGGACTTTGCAGTCTAGATCTAGTAGATGGTAAATTGTTGGCTTTCGCAGATGACACGGCGCTTGTTTTTGCAGGACACTCTTGGGATCAAGTTTATGACACTGCACAGATGGGATTGAACAGAGTAACTAAATGGTTATCCGATAATACTCTGTCGCTCAATGTCGATAAGACTAAATATGTACTGTTTAACATCAAAACCCCGAAACACTTCGATGATAGGAACTTTTATATTGCAGCCCATAACCACGCTGAAAATACCCGTCTTATGTGCAACTGTCCCAATCTAGAAAGAGTGGATATTATTAGGTATCTGGGTGTTATTCTAGATACACGATTAACTTTCGCACCGCACATTGAATTTTTAACAGGGAGAATTAGAAAACTAATGTATATATTCAAGCACCTCAGGCACGTGGCTGATCCCAAAGTTTTAAAAACAGTGTACTATTCTCTGTGTCAGTCCATGATAAGTTACTGTATTTCTACCTGGGGTGGCGCCTGTAAAAGTAATCTGATACAATTAGAACGAGCACAAAGAGCTCTCCTAAAGGTTTGCACTTTTAAACCTTTCCGCTTTCCTACTAAAGAACTTTATGACCACACCGAAGTCTTAACAGTGCGACAACTGTTCATTCTCCAAGTTGTTCTTAGGCAACATACTTTGACGACTGACTATGAGTGTTCTTCTATAACATCCCTAAGACAACCATCACGTAGGTTTAGACTGCCCCCAAATGAGACTCGCAAGACCTCCTTCAGCCACAGATTTTTTTGCTTTCTCGGACGCTTTTTGTATAACAATCTGAACAAGGCGTTAAATAATGTTTCCAAAAATAAACACCACTGTAAGAAGGTTGTCACTGATTGGCTTCGTACACTTAGCTATGATGTAACTGAGAATTTGCTTCATCCAGTCAAATAGTCACACAAACACAGATGCACGCACCCCTCACATTCACACACACACACTCATCCATACACACCACACAACCCTCTCCTTCATACGCACTTACACAAACTCACTCACGTACACTCACTGCCATTTGCAATAGCCTCCCTGAACACTGATTCTCATAACTTATAAGATACTAGGTTTACTTTAATTAATATTTCATTTTATTTCAATAACCAATTAGTTTTAATAGTATTTATTCAACGGTTGTGGCCACAGAATTTGCTTCTAATGTTCAGCGGTAAAATTGTGTGTCTGTGGAAGCATTGTATTACCAAACTGCGCTATAAAGAGTCGCTGGTACTTATAGCACAGGGTTTTTTAAGTATCAGCAGTGCATTATTTGTCATTATTGTAATATAACAACCATGAAATTATGTTTGTTAACTTTAATTGTGAACAATAAATATTATTATTATTTTAAAAATTTAATAGACCAATGTACCAACATAATTTTAACGTCTTCTAAGAAAAATTTAGGTGTTTCCTGAATTCGTAAGCGAACTGAGTAAATTCTTTTTGTGTAGTATGTAGGCACATGAGTGTACTCAGTGAGGCAACGTGGGACAGTTCCAAAGCAACAACGAAGTTTTGTTTTGTCAGAATTAGCATTCTGTATGGAAGAAGATAAAGATAAAATTGAGCAAAGGAAATATTTGGTGACGCAACATTCAATAGCCCCCTTAAATTCCTTGACTTTTTTACCATACACGTTGATTAGGCAGTAAGTACTGATAGTAATTCGGAGGTTTTAATAAAATCTGTTCCCGGATACCTCCTTTTTCAGGCGCAGAGTGGCGCAATGTGTGGTTTTAGTTAGATTCAGACACACCGTCCCATCGCAAACACCGGTGTGGTGATGGCCCGAGGAAGTTTTAGTTGTAGGCTCCGATTTTCACATTTAGACTTAAGAATGGTCCTTTTAGCGTTGAGAAAAGGTTTTCTAGGTGAGCTTAGTAAGCTCCTACTTGAAGCGGGAGAAGCCTCCTGAGGCGCTCACAGGCGATTCAGTATCAGGTATGACATTAGCCCGTTGAGTGGCGAATCCCTCGCATTTCAGGATTAAGTAAGCGGCCGTATCTTCTGCTTTTAGATATCCTCTGCAAAAAGGAATGTTTGTCGCATTAA